GGCCCCATGCTTGGAGGCGTAGAAGTGGGAAATGTGTGGCCCCAACCAAGACTGCAGGCCAGGAAGAACTGTGCATGAGATGACAGCCAGACCAGCCACAAGTGGAACACTGAGTACCAATGAGTAGGGTTGTTAAGTCTGTAGGATGTAAGACAAGATGCTCTCTGCCCTGTAGGAGAAGGAGGAGAAAGGCAGAGTCTAGTGGCTATGAAATGTTCTCTATCACTGTCCACTGTTAATATGTTTGCTTCTCTGAGGTCAACCAGGCAAACAGCTATGGACTGACATACTGATGTCCTGGGACCTGCTGCCCAGCCTGTTGCTTCTATACAGGCAGGTGGGCTGGCTACTCCCGAGGGCAGGAGGCTGCATACATCTGTGGTTTTCAGGTGCAGTACCACCTGTTGATTGAGTTTGACTGGGAACCTTGGTGTGTTCCTTTCCTCCTTGGGTAGAGTGGTTGGTATCACAGAGGCAGGAGTTCAAAGATCAAGCTATCTGAGTTCAAGTTCTAATTATCTGAGGATGCATGCTCCTGGACACTTCCATCTCTGGACACTTCCCATCTCCTGGATTGTTGTAAGATCTAGAGATATGTATGCTGTCTGGCACATGGAAAGTACCACATAGATGGTAGGTGGAATTCGTGTCATCTTTAGTGAAATGTAGCTAGGAAGACTTCTGCATTGGGGACCTTGGTGGTTTTTGCTTCCAGAAAGGCTATTGTGAAATCCAGCACATCTGAGGAGAGCAGGGAGAGGCCCTTCAAGATACAGCCAGGTGTCACATGTAGTGTCCATTTGGGCCTTAAAAGTTTGGGTGTGGGTTAGATATGCTTTTCAGGAGAGGACAGGAGTCCTTCCTTAGGGGAGGGCCAAGGGAATAGAAACCAATCTGATGTTTAGTGGGACAGAATCCATCTAGCTGGCAAAGTATGGTCCTAGAAAAGATGGGTGCCAACAACAGCTAGAATATAGTCTAAATACTTTTTTGGATAGAGAACTAGTCCTTAACCCTTCCTGTCCTGGGATCCTGGGATCTCCCCTTGCCTCTCACAGGGCATCATCCTCCAGCAGCAGTTCTGAGGCCAGAGCCTATAGAATTGGAGTGTTGGAGTAGACATTCAACTTGGACCGGCCAATCCGATCCCTGTTGGCATTGGAAAGTAGAGGTGCTGGCACATAAGCTCAGAAATGCCATCCAGAGCTATGCATGGGGCCAGTAGTGAGAGTAGACTGCAGATGGGGACATAGTAAGAAACCCAGTGGGATGTGGAGAGGGTTGCTGCTTTGCTTTCTGGAGGCCTTCCCAACAGTTTCTGGTTCCTGGCTCTCATGAGGCCCAGCTGCATCTCTACCCATGGGCTCAGGGAGATACCTCATGTGTCCTTATATAACCAGCTTATTTAATGAGCTGGACTCTGCCAGGTGTAAGAAGAAACCAAACTCATTTTTCCCCAGTGTCTTTTCAAGTCTGCTCTGTGGATGAGTTTTGTTTTTTCCTAATTGAAGCAGAGAACTCGGCAGGCCCCTAGGTCTTCCTGGTGTCAGGGATGACAAAGTCCAGTCCCTTGTAACAGTCTCCTCCTTTCAGACAGTCCTATGTAGCAATCATGCCTGGATTCCTAAAGCCAGCTTTGCAGGCCTGGAGCTGGTCAGGGCAGGAAGTCAGCTTCTTCACTGGAGCTTGGCCAATCCTACTGCTTCTGTCACCTGCCCTCTCAGGTCTCTGGCCTTGGAGCTTTGAGCAAAGGGAACAGGGGATGCAGGAGACAGGACCTGTCTTCTGCAGCAGCTCTGACCTAATCCAGAGTTTGTGCTCAGTACATAGCCCCAGCTCCTCCTTCCCCATTTGTGTGCTGATTTTGTTTACTCTGAATACTTCCAATCCTGTTCCTTAGTGGCAGAATGATACTTTTCTAGCTGACTTTGGCTCTGGTGCTGTCCTGTCCTACTCCCAGGCCCTTTGTGTCCAGTATCTCCTACTTCACACTGTTCTGGTGCCTGCGGTCTTAGGCTTGGGGCCTGGATTAGACAGTGGCACCCATGTTTGCTTGTACTATGCTCTGGGAGTGGTCCCTTAGCTTTCCTGTCACTTGATTTTGGTGAGGGGCACCTGCTGTCCATGTGTTGGAAGAGGACATAGCATAAAGACAACTCCCCCACTTCCAGGATCCTTTCTCTGCATTGCTTACACAGAGCCCAAGTAGGCATTGGCTAATACTGCAGCACCCATTTGAGTATCTATTCAGGATGGTCTTAAACCTTGCTCTGGAATGAAGGATCTTGGGAAGCTATTAGTTTGTCCCTACCCTTTAGCGTCTCCAGGAAAATGGAGGCAGAATGAATGCCATTTTCCATTTGTTGCCTCTAAAATATTTGCTCCTTTTCTTTAATCTGGTTGCCTGGATATCTCTTATTATAATGAAAGTCTCAAGTCTGAAACAGGTGAGGTGATCTGGAAAGTCAGGGAGGGTCCTCTGAACTCCTGGAGGATCCAGGGCTTCTACAAATGGCAGACTCCCATCACCGCTGCTTTCAGTAATCAGCAGGTTTCTCTTTCTGTCTTGCTCAAATTGGCAAACTGTGAGGAGGGGACTCTTCAGTGTCATTTGACAATCATTGGCTGCAACAGAAGAAAGTACTAGCTTTGTTAACTTCTGCCTGGGCCTACAGTTGTGCCCACCAGGGAGAAAGAACTCAATATTATTAGAACTTTCTTTTGTTAGATTGTAATCCTTAAAAGGACCCTGGCTGGGATAGAAGAGTGCTGTTGGTCTTACTTGGATCTATCTGCATGTTGACTGCTGAGGGAGAAGATCACAGGTACCTGACTGGGAGAACCCCAGGTTCACCCCATTTCTGACCTTACCTCCAGTGCGCCTGTTCCATTCTGAAACCTAGTGAACTGGCCTCCTTCCTCCCAGTTTACTCTAAGAGCAGGTTGCATATGAGGCAGCCTCCTTTGTCTTTTCATATGGCCAGTGGTGGTTTGGGCAAGACATGGGTTTGGGTGCTAGAGGAGAGGGACATTTGGGTTCCAAATGGAATGGAAAACGGGCTACTTCACACTGTCCAGCTTGGCTTTCCAGAGCTCTGTGCTTTAAGGTTTGGACCTAAGACTAGTAACTAGAGAAAATGTATATATCTTATGTTCCTTTTCCCTACATTCTTCCCCCTGCCCCCAACACACACATACACACTCTACTCTAGATGTGTGAGGAGGTATGGCTGTGGTCTGGGCCAAGTTTGGGACATACTCGTAAAAAGCATGCAGGTTCTACTGTGACCCCAAGCAACTGGGAAGTGGGAACAGGGTGAGAATTCTCCCTCAAGGCCTGATACCCAGTGCCTTCTACTTTAACTCTCCTTGGGAGATTTTTACTTAATCCCTACCTCATTTTCTGCTCTTCCATAGAGCAAGAATAACATCCCTTCCTTCTCAGAGCCATATGAAAGTGACATAAAAGGGGAAAAAAAAGGAAAATGTCCACTTCTAAGCACTTTGTAGTAGCCTCCTAACCACAACTTTAATAGGAAAAAAAAACCTCTCCAAGTTGTTTTGCGTGGTAGTAAATAAAGACTGTTGTGTCTAAGTGGCTACATGTATGCAATTTTGACATGCATATCACCCAAACTCTTCAATTTTGGACTTTTGCCAATAGCACAGAAAGTACGTATTTCTTTATCCTCTTATGGGCATGCAATTGGCAGTTTTCTCATCTTTACCAGTCTGACAGGTGCCACATGATGGCTTATCTGTCATTTATGGTACTTCTCTGGTTCCTACAAGGTGTTTGTGTACTTTCTTTCTTTTCAAATTCTTTATTGTGATTAAGTGATTACATAATTTCCCAAATTTCACAGTATTGTGGGATAGTGATCCTTAGTTAAAGTCACACATTCTAACTTTCATGGGGCAAATTGTCTATCGTGGTCTATAACATTTATGAGTTCTTTCTTTCTTTTCTTCCTTCCTTCCTTCTTTCTCTTTTTCTTTCTTTCTTCTCTCTCTCCCTTTCTTTTTTTGGTCATGGGGCTTGAACTTTGGGCCTAGGTGCTGTCCCTGAGCTCTTCAGCTCAAGGCAAATACTCTACCCCTTGAGCCACAGCACCACTTCCAGTTTTCTGGTGGTTAATTGGAGATGAGAGTCTCACAGACTTTCCTGCCTGGGCTGGTTTCGAACTGTGATTCTCAGATATCAGCTTCCTGAGTAGCTAGGATTACAGGCATGAGCCACTGGCACTCAGCCCAAATTTTCTATTACAGTGTTTGTATGAATTTGAAAGAGGTTCTGGCATGATATGAACATTAATCCTGTATTTGACAAATAAAAATACCAAACATGTTTCTCTTGGTGGATCTTTGCCTTTCAGTCTTGGTCATGTTTTGTTTTTTGGAAGGCAGAAAAATTGGTATTTTTCAGTCATATCTTTCAGTCTTATCCTTTTTGGTTTGGGCTTGCAATCATGCCTAAAATGGCTTCCCTAAGTCCCAGATCTGTTTTGCAAGGAGACAGCTCTGGCAGCAAGTGTGGGACTTGGGTTAGAATGAGGGAGCTCAAGCTCCTGGTCAAGAGCCTGATGTGGCAGGGAAAGGAGAAGCGCTGAGGCCTGCACTGACCCTGAAAGGGCTCAGTGTGGAGGCTGGAGCAGCCTTAGCGATGGGAGGGAGGAGAAAACCTTAGTTTTGACCTACACGGTTAGTACATGGCCGGCCTGGAGAAGTGTCTTGTGTTAACTGTCTTGCCTGGGAGGTGTTCTAGTTCATCAGTGGAAAAGTCTGGACACACTTGGATGAAGGAGGTTGACTCCAGAAAGCAGTACTTGCCACAATTTCTAGTGCAGGATTTCTGGGAGGCAAAATGTGATCTCTGTGGTTGGGAATGCGTCCTGGTGCTGACTCTTCTCCTGCTTTTCCTTACAGAGGCCCCAGTCTAGGTGGTCCTAGGAGACATTTCTAAAATAGTAACAAAGGGTACAGATACATCCATGTAGCACTGATGGCTTTTATTGCAGATTTGTGTCATAACAAGGATAATCTGGGAATATATATATTAAAAAAAACCCTCCCTTTTATATACACAGAACATGCTACATGGTACACTGTGAGAAATGCTGAGGTAATAGACACCCACTCAGATGTGGACAGTACCAAACGCCCCACACCTCACATGCCTGGCCCACATGCCCACTGGGAGGATTTCCCCTTCTAGACTCATCTCTTCAGCCTCTGCATTCATTCTGGTAGCACTGAGCCCATCAGGACTCAGAAGCCACCATGTCCCAGTACACCAGCCATGGGGCCTGTGGCCACTAACAGTTCAGCAACTTATAGGAAGTAGCCACTCCTCCCCCATGTGGCCCCATCTTTCAGGGAAGTGGACTTGGGGTCGAGGTACAGACTCTGGTCCACTGAGCATGGAACCTCAGGTTTGTTGCCATCTGGGGCCCCCAACGTATTGATAGTGACTTCTCTTCAGCTGAGTATCTCTGGCAAGGCAGGCTACTATTTGTGTGAAAGTTACAATGATGTGGAGGCTACAGTATGAACGGAAAATACAAAACTGTGAATACATTACGGTGCTGGTGTCACTTGACCTGGCCTTTCTTTACCGAGCCAAAACTGTTCCTTCTCAGAGGCTGAGGGATCTTGCCTGGATAGAAAGGCCTGTGTGGCAGAGAAGAGTGGCCAGGGAAGGAGGGAAAAGCGGTGCCTTGAACCCCAGCGAGCAGCTAGGGACTGAGGCTCAGAAGGCACTAGATGAGGGGGTAACTGGGTAGAGGTTGGTAAGAAGTCCTGAGAAGGGGGAGTGGTGTAAGGAAGGACAGGGAGGGAGAGTATGAAGTCTGATAAGGTTCTCACAGGGGTTCTTCAGAGGGGAGGTATGGAGCCCCTATGTGAGAGGTGAGCCTTTACAGACATTTCTGGAAGAATCCAGGCACCGATGCCAAGGATTCATTTTGAACTAAGGCAACACAGCCTGTGTTCTACCCTTAGACTCAAGTTACACAGCATTAAGGAAAATGCTTTCCTCTGAAGAGCAACGCTGTTGGTGATAGCTTCAGCATCTGAGAACTGAAAGTAGAATACGGAGTGTCCATACGTATCACATGTGACAGGTATCTAAGCGCATGTACATACAGTCTGCACAGAGAGGCTCATGTACATGCATGTCACAAAAGTGTACAGTTGGGTTTTTAAAGGAAGAGTTGTGTGCATTCCCATCCTATCCTGATAACATGAGGGGTTGTTGGGTATGAAGGAAAGAAGGGGGACAGAGAACACTGTAGCAGTCCAGTTCCATATGCGGCACAATAACTTTGGAAAGCAGAATCCTGCGTCCCATCCTCCCAGCTGAGATGAACTGGTGAGGTGTTGTGCTGGGGCTACACAGTCAGGGTGGTTCCTGATGATGGCCACGGAGTCAGGGGCGAGCAGGCTTAGTGGAAGGTGTTGGGGTTGGGTCGGATCATCATCACCACTTTCTTGAGGGAGTAGGAGCCTCCTCGGAACTCAGCCCAGTAGACCCCATCCTGGTAACGGCTCCGGTAGTGACCCCCACGGTACCAGACCCCGTTGAGGTTGGAGTGGGCACAGGCATTATACCACCAGCCTCCCTTCTGATAGTGGGCGCAGTTTCCTGTGGAGAGAAAGGAGTGAGGAAGTATCCAGGAGGAGCTGATTCTGCCCCATCCGCAGGCCCATGTCTGGGAAAGTCTTCAAAGCAAGAATGCTTGAGAGGTGGACTCTGTCCATTCGAGATGGAAGGCTGGGGTGTAGACTCCCTCAGACCTGTAAGGTGGCAGGCAAATAGCTTCCCCTCTCCCAACTACTGTATTCTTATCTGTAAAAAGGAGGATTAAAAATAACTCCCACTGCATAAGATGACTGAGGATTAAGTGAGGCCATGTATAGCACAGTCCAGGCTCCCTGCAGAGGTGGCACGGGCACTGCCCACTGCAGGCTCTGGCCTGGGGCAGCTGGGGAGAGGGAGAAAGAATCTTCCTTTTAGGAGTTGAAAGGGGTAGATCAGAGTCTTTATAGAATATCAAGGGAAGTGATGGAATGCCCGTCTTTTTCTTCCCAGCCCGAATTCTACCCAAGTAACTTTTCATATTATTTCATAAAAGAAGGTTATTTTCATGAAACTCCTGGCATTGTCACATCACACTGCATTTTGCTGCCAAGGACAAGCCGTTCAGAACAATAATAAGTGTGGGCAAGGTGCACACAGGCATGCAGGGGCATTGCACCCCACAGCAGGAGGAGTGAGAGCAGCCTCCATCATCTGGGCTGCTTAGTGGAGTGAGGGAACAGCAAGGAGGTGACCCCTTGTTCAGGGAGAGGACAGCTCTGCTCCAGCCAAGGTTGTGGGAGGGATGAGGAGGTAACAGATAGACTGAGGCAGAAAGCTGGAAGAACGCCTCAGCCTCAAGCACCCCAGGGTTCCCAGTTTTTCTGGGATTTATTCTGGGCCATGACTCAAGGTCACAAGGACCAAGAAACAGTGCTGGGTAGGGAGAGTGCTTGGCACACCAGTCTGTTTCCCATTTGCCAGGGGAGGCCCCCACCCGGCACTTCACCCTGAATGCCCCAGGGACAGAAACCATCTGACAGTGTGGGTCATAGAAGAGTCTTCCCCTTGTCCCCTCTGAGGGATCTCAGGAAGTGTCTGTCTCAGCCGCATGCCCCAAGACAAGGGGCATTTCCTAGACTGCTCTTCAGTAGCTCTGGCTTAGAAAAGCTACCACTTTAGACAGGGACTGCTCTTTCTCCCTGCCCTTCCAGTAGGGCCCATTCAGGGACAGAGAGGGCACAGAGGTATCTGGGTGGTATGAGGTCATGTCCCACTTTCCCCTTGATGTAGGGAGAACTACATACTATACTCTGAACAAGGTACCCCACTTCAAGGTGTGGAAAGCAGTGCCCACATAAAGCTCACTTCAAACCATTCTTAAAGTAATCCCCAGGGCTCACACATTCAAGAAAGGGAACTTGCAAGATAAGTAGGAGGCTGGGCAGGAGGGATCAGGCTTATCTGGGAAAGCAGACTAGGCCTCAGCTTGGAGGTAGTGCCATCCTCAGGGCGACCTGGGCTTTGGTAACCCACCAGCCTCCAGGGTCTCTGGCTCTCATCTGAAGGAAATGAGTGTGGACTTTGGAGGTATGAACTGTGAGGTTGTCTTGTACTGTGTTTAGGGCAGATTGTCTGTGAACCTTGTAATTCTTTGTTTTCCCTTGTTTTTAATTTAATTAAGACTTCTTAGGAAGGACTCAAAGTCCTCCAAAGTACGTGTTCCAAGTATATGATCTTGGACAAATCACTTAATCTACTCTATCCTGTTTCCTCTTAATAGCCTCATTACAGTGTAGCATTAACAGAACATGCTACCATGTTATCATGCTATCAAGAAAGTCCATGGTATTGAGCTAAGTCGTAGACAAAGCTCTTGAGGTACATTCTGTTGAACCTTCTCCCTGCCCTGTAAGGTGGGTGTTGACCTTACTTCCAGATGTAGGAAGGCCCAGGAAGATGATATAGCCCAGGGAGGACGTGTGATTGAAGAAGAAGGGATAGTATTAGAAGCCAGGGTGTGTGGCCAAGAGCCCACAGACATGAGTGCCTAAGACAGAGAAATGAGGAGGGCACACACTTGGGCATGAGTGTCTGCCCTTATCCGTGTGATCCACATACTTTTGCCTTTCCCTTTTTGTAAGTGCCAAAGTGACCAAGCTTCTCAGAGGGGATTTGAGGGCAATGGCCAAAGGAGGGGATCATCAGACATTTGGACAGGGACAGTGGCTTGGCATATCCATCATCCCCCAGGGACCATCCTGCTCCCAGGACCTGGAGTCAGGAGAGATGGCTTTGGGTAACCTCTTTTCCCAGCCCAGCACCTGAGTCAGACTCCACTTTTCCTACCTGTGTAAACATCATGGTCTCTGTCCAGAGTGGTGAACTGCTTGCCATTGTGCCAAGTGAAGGAGTCACCTGCATTGCCATGGTATCGCCCTAGACGTAGCTTATAATACTCGCTCTCGGGCTCCACGCGGAAGCTGGCGTATTCTGCAAAGACCTTGCGTCCAGACCAGTCCTCCATGGTCACAAGCAGTTTGTAGTTGCCTTGGTTTGTCAGCCAGTAGATGTTCTCCAGGCCCAGCCAGTACTCGCCATCAATGTTCCCAAACCCTTGCTGAGGAAGACCCAGGAAAGCATGAGTGTAGACTATGCTGGGCACTCACCGGCACTGGACACTCAGCTCTGGCCTGAGAGTGGCCCGAGAATTGCATGCAGCACAAGGCCAAGTCTGGGCTCAAATTTCTGTTCCCCCATGTCACAGCTCTGTAACTTGAAGAGTCACTTCACATTCCTGAGCCTCAGCTGCACATCATTCGCACAGATGGAGAGGGTGGCTCCTTTGGACAGGCAGCCTGTGAACCCCAGTGAACCTCACGGGCACTTTTCTCTCATGGCTGCTACGGGAATGTGTGGTGTGGCCATCAGATAACCTGCCACATAGAAGGCATGTGTCCATTCCAAGGACAGGGTCCTCACCTCCCCCAAGCCTCAGTTTCCTTCTCTGAGGATGAGCTGTGTGTGAGGAGCATGTGTAAGCCCTAGCATAACAGACAGGCATGAGCTGTGACACATGTGTGACTTCTACCTTCCTTCTAGTTCTAGAACCCAGTGGTTTTGCTATGAATGTTTTTGACATGTAGTGGTGAGGGTGGGGTGGGGTTATATACACAGTGATAGCCAGCAAAGTCTTGTAAGTGTATGGATTCATTAGTGACCATTGCTAGTGCTTAGTGACACCTCTTGCTTATAATGTATACTTACTGTAAGTTATTTTATGAACTCTTAAAGCAAGGAGCTATCATGAGCCTCCCTAGGATGGGTGAGCCAGGATATGCTAGAGACTGTGATCTTGGGCACTGTGCTGTACCATCTCCGCAAAGAGGGTGTAGAGGAGTTTCTGGGAATATAGGCTGGTGGGGAGGTGGGCAGGGAGCAGCAGGATGGAAGGAGACCTGAGAAGCAGGTGCAGCAAAGCCACATGTGGAGGCTACAAGGAGGTGGACATTAAAGGCTGAGCTGCAATCACTGCTTTGCCATACGACAGCAGTGCAGCTGTGAGCAAGGTGTGTCTCCTCTGTCCCGTTAGTCAGGGTGATAGTGGTACCCTTCTCAGGAGTCACTGTGAGATTAAATGTCATAAGGGATCACTGAATGGTGCCAAGGCATGGCAGGTGCCCAGTGAACTGAGCCACTTACACTATTTTTCACTCTCTGCTCAGATTGGGTGCAGCTGAGCCCTTGCAGCCTTTCCTACAGAGGGCCCGTGAGCTTCAGGACTTCCTCTCTGGGCTTTGAGAACAGGGCTTCCATGGGAAGATAGCAGTAAGCAGCTGGGAATAAGGTGCTACTCATAAGCCAGCTGGGGTGGGGGCCTCCCCCCTGCTGCCTGTCTAGTCTGTGGGGCTTTGATGGTTCCAACTGTAAGCTGTTGTCTTATAGCAGGTGCTAGTGGCACTTTGCAGCAGGTGCTAGGGAATGAACCTATCCTCACCACCCTGGTGGGTTGAAAATGGCCCCGTCCCCATCTTTACCCTGTGGGGCCAGTCAGGGCAGTGCACACAGGCCTTGGAGGCTCACCTTGTATGTCTCCCAGTTCCTAAAGAAGTTGACGGAACCATCCAGGCGCCTCTGGATGACAGTCCAACCCCCAGGGTCATGTCTCTGGTCACACCACACCTGCATGAGGCGGTTAGTGTTCTCAGGCTTTACCAGGTAGATGGAGCTGGTATCATGGCCATCTTCCAGGGCCTGCAGACAGTCTCTCCAGGGCCCTGCAGACACAGATGTGCACATGTCACAAATGCCTGTCACTATACCATATTCCCAGCCATCTAGCCATATCCCAAGTAGCACAACCTATGCTAGGGCTCTGGCAGGGAGCCACAGGCCTGATGTAATATGATATAAAAACAAGAGCTCAGAGACAGGGCTCCAGATGTGTGATCTCCAAGCTTGGTTTCTGCTCTCGTCCTCTTAAAGTATGATCTTGGTCAGCTTTCTCACTTCTCTTCATTCTTAGTTTCTCTTGTTTATAGTTAAAGGACTTATTTTCCTCATCTAAGGCTCTTAGGGTAGAGAGATCCTTTCTGTGGCAATTCCTGGTGATTTTTAAAAAACTTAATTCTGTTGGTAGAAAGAGATTTGAGCCTATCGAGTGTGACCATGTTCACCAGTACTGCAAGGACGTAGCTGTGCTCTGCCAGCAAGGCTAGCCTGCATCCGGTCTTTCCTTTCCTGTACACCAGACACACTTCAGCCTGACTTCACATATGCTTTCCAGTTTTCTGGTTTCACTATATTTTCTAATAAGTGACCTTTTGCAGGCCCAGAATTTGGCCAGGTAGCCTGAGACCTCATGGTGTTTCTGAGAACCCTACAGTGGTCTCTGAACACATCAATAAGTGACATGTCAGGGTCTTCCTTATTAGTCTGAGGGAATTTCCAGAGGCCAGTTAACTATACAGATTAAAATATATACTTTTTTCAAGCCCCAAGACAGAAATAACTAAATAAACAAGCAAATAAATAAAATATGTACTTTGTGCTGTGTGTGGTGGCTCATGCCTATAATTCCAGCCATGAGGGAAGCAGAGGTAGGAAAGCAAAATGGGATGGAGGCAGGGTTCAAGCAGTAGGGCACTTGCCTAGCAAATGTGACACTCTGAGTTCAAATCCAAGTACTACAAAAAAATAAGTAAATAAAATTCTCTTTCATCTCTTTACATGTTCCCCAGCCTGAGAATGGTTAAGATCAAAAGTGCTTAAAACAAAAATCCATCTTGCTCTATTAATTTTCACATTCCTTCATCAACTATTCATTGAGTCCTAGCTCCTGCAGGAACTGCAGGAGGACAGTCAGAAGAGGGGAGCCGGCCCCAAAGCCCTCACTCAGCTCCACTTCCTGGTGACCCTGCCTTTCTCTAAATGTAAATGTAGATGGGTGCTTGTCAGTGGGAGTATGCTCCGCTTTTGCTGACTAGCTCCAGCTTGGTAGCTTCCTTCCTGTCTGGCAGTTGGACTCAACTAGTCCACATGCCCCACAGCCAGTCAGGCAAGGTCCTTTTAGACATCTCAATAGGCCTCTGCGGAGCCCTTGCAGTGACATATGAACGCTGCACCCAGGCCCAGGTCAGTGTGGGTACTGACACTGAATTGTGGGCTCCCTTCATTCACTGGGGAAGCGGGGCTTTTCACCATTTACCTTCCCCTCAGCTCTCGCCTAGCAGGACTCCTAGCACCCCACCCCAGGAAGCAGGTGGGGCACAAGCTTCTCCTTCCTCCCTTCCTCTCTCTAGTCCTCCTTCCTTCCCTTCCAATTTTTCTTCCTTCCTCCTCTTCCCTCTCCCTCCCTTCTTCTTGCCCTCAGTATCCATCCCAAGGAAGGGGAGGCCGGACTTCAGGAAGAACATTCAGGAAGAAGAAAAAGGTGTTGGTTGTGTTTGGCCCAAGCCCCGGGGACAGAGACAGAGAATGGGAGTCTGTCCTAAACAGCTGGAGCAGAGCACTGGTGGGTGTGGGGAACTCTCGGGCTCTGCATCAGGTCAGCAGTGTGTGGGGGGGGGGAGTGTTGATGAGCATACTGGGGACAGAAGATCCGGCAGAACCTGCAAAATAACATCCACTGAAAGCAAGCCAGCCACTTCCTGCAGAGCCACTGGGCCCTGTAGGATGGTCAGATGGAGAGACTGTCCTCCAAGGGCACCCATAGGGAAGCTTTTCAGGCAGTCAGCCTTGTGGGTCCCTCCCAGTCTTTTTTGAAGAGACAAGTGGTTTCGAATATACTGGGATCTCTGGTCCCTTTAAGAATTTGTGGAAAGAAAATATAGGCTCATGCAATTTTATTATAGTATTAGGAGGTAATGGACCTCTAAGCCTCAGGTTACTAGTATCTAGCTCTAAAAAGTCCTCTCTGGACTAGCTAATAACAGTAAGATAACAATAGCCAATGCTACTGAGCATTTCTTGTTGGAAGCCCTGCCCAAGTATTTCCATCCTAATCCTCCTCACACCCTTATGAAGTGAAGGTAGTCTCTCCATTTTACAGAGGAAGACACCAGAGCCAAGGAACATTACAGGATACACATGTGAAGGTCACATGGCCAGTAAGGGGCAGGGTGGGTCTCTGCCCCTGCCCCCCCTCCGGCCCCAGCTGGACAGGGTAGGCCAGAGCTTTACTTGAATGCACTCTTCTTGCACTCTTCCCTGATCAGAGTGAATTCAGAGTCAGGGCCCAGGCTCTGACCTCTGTGAAAGGGCTATCTTTATCAAGGTGTTAACCCTTTTTAATTTAGCTTTATTGATAATTTGAGTTGTTGTTGGTTGGTTTTTTATTTTCTCTTGCATTTACATCTTGGTGGGTTTTTTTTGTTGTTGTTGTTTGGTTGTGGGGCTTGAACTCTGGGCCTGGGTACTATCCCTGAGCTCTTCAGTTCAAGCTCTCTACCACTTGAGCCACAGCGCTGCTTCTGGTTTTCTGGTGGTTAAGAGTCTCACAGACTTTCCTGCTCACATTGGCTTTGAACTGTGATTCTCAGATCACAGCTTCATGAGTAGCTAGGATTACAGGCGTGAGCCACTGGCGCCCAGTATACATCTTTGTGTTTTTTGCCCAGTTTTCAACTCCTGTGTGTGTGAATGCATGTGTGAATGCATGCGTGCGTGCATGTGTGTGTGTGTGTGTGTGTGTGTCTGTCTGTCTGTCTGTCTGTCTGTCGGTCTATGTGTTTGCTTGTTTTGTTTGTTTTTTGTTTGTTTTTTGTTTTTTTTTGGGGTCCGGTCGTGGGGCCTGAACTCTTGGCCTGGGCGCTGTCCCTCAGCTCTTCAGCTCAAGGCTAGCACTCTACCACTTGAGCCACAGCGCCACTTCCGGCTTTTTTCTTTTTGCTTATGTGGTGCTGAGGAATTGAACCCAGGGCCTCGAGCATGCAAGGCAAGCGCTCTACCACTGAGCCACCTTCCCAGCCCTGTTTGTTTGTTTTTAAATAGGAAAACCTGGCAATTCTTTAAAGCCTCATAGAATAGTGGGATTAGGTAAAAGAGTGGAGATGTGTTTAGTTAGCATTTTCCACCTTCAAGAAAGACTTTCCACATGTCCCTGCAGCCTGCCCTTCAGATGATATGCGGGCCCATCAGCTTCTATCAAGAGCCATGTCCTCCAGTTTCCTTTAGAAGCCCTTTGCAGACCTCTTCCAAATCACCCACATTCACACACATTTTCTCTTCTTACACTGAAGGTACTAGTGGCAAATGAGGGGTGAAAATGAGTCCGAAAAATAGTTGCATTCAAAAATCAGCAGCAGTATAATGTTGTTGTGGCCCAATTAAAGTGGTGTGCCAAAACCTTCTGCTTTGATGAAAGAAACCTACCTCCAATAAAGGAATGATGCACTGGCAAATCTGTTATATGCAAATAATGTGATCAGAAATCCTTACTGAAACCTATAAGTAGCGTAGTGCCAAGCTTGCCATGGTTACACACAAATCATGCCATCCTTGTGAGGCATCCAACTTTGGTTAAAGAATCCATTGCACAGGACATGTGGGGCTAAGAGAAGGACTTCCAGTTTGGAGCAAGCTCAAATCTTGGTATCTTCACCTGACCACTGGGTGACTTTGGGTAAGTTTCTCACCAAGCCTCAGTTTGTTTTCTATAAAATGGGGAGTGAACACTAGTCATGTTGTAAGTTGTTCACCCTTCTCCCCTACCATGTGCATGTTACTGCTTGCTTTTGAGTTTCCAAAACTAAATCTAACATTGTAAGTATATATGCACGTGTTATAATGTCTATCAATAGGCGTTTTCTATAAGGCATATTTTAAGTCACAGAAGACCACAAAGCTGTACTGAAATAAAGAATGGAAATCATTTTTGTCAACAAGGCTGAATTTTTGATGTGTAGTGGGCGAAGCGCTGCCCTGGAGCAGTGCGAGTGCCCCGGCGGCCGCTATTTACCTTGGCTCCCCTTCTGAAAGGCTGCTCTGCCCGGAGCACCAGGCCAACACTAACTCAGCAGCACCTATATTTTGCACAGTATGAGTGCCCAACCTTGCCTCCATAAAGACCACATTTACACTATAGCCAGAATGTTCCACATGAAGAGCATTGCAGCCGCCATGGCAAGCTGAGACTTTGTGGTTCCTCAGAGAGGCAGGCAGGGTACAGGAAGCACACAGGACATGGGGCTGGGAGGAGGGGAGAGGGATACTGGTACATAGAATATGAGCTATGCAGGTCTCTGGCCTTCAGACCCCAGGTTCAGCCTGGTAAGTATTGGAGGTGATCATACCCGGGCCCTACCCCTGCTTCCTCTCTGTTCTCTGGGTTCTTAATGGATAATCACATACAAGGGACAAGGCCTTCCAGGAAATCAGGAATCACCCCCATTCATAGCCTATTCAGTTCTCACCACTTCCTGGCAGGGCCTTCTGATAAAGGAAAGTTGGACTGGTTAGACATGTCAGGCCCAAGTATAACTTCTTCTTGTTCCTTCTCTGTGATCTGTGATGGACCAGTTCAGCCCAACTTATCCAGGCCCTACAACTGAAGGTGACTTACAATCTGTAGCTACCTTCAAAGTAGTCCTATTCAGGCCCACTTCAGCTTCCCTTGAAGCCAGGACATTTGAGGAGGGGAGAGCTGCCTCTCCTGCCTGGCTATCCCTGAGAACCAGGAAAAAAGAACAAAGATCTTCAGGGCTGTGAGCCAGCAATTGATGGGCTCTTTGTCCCTAAATCCATCCTTGAATCTCAAGACTTGACCACCATAGGCTGT